ATAAGGCTCGAAGCATTCGTTGTTACCCAGAATTTGGGAAGTACTGGCGGTAGGCATAGGGGCAACCAACAAACTGTTTCGTACACCGTGTTGCTTAATTTGCTCCTTGAGACTAGCCCAGTCCCAAAGATCACTAGGAGTAACATTCCACATATCGTATTGGAGAATGCCTTGAGAGACAGGAGAACCTTCGTACGTGGAGTAGGTACCGTCAACTTTGGCCATCTCCACGGATGCGGTCAAGGCAGCATGGTAGATAGTCTCAAAGATCTGCTTGTTCAATTGTCGAGCCTCCGGGGACTCAAATGGCATACGTAGTGCTAGGAAGGTGTCTGCAAGACCCTGAACACCTAAGCCAATAGGACGGTGGCGCATGTTACTGTTGCGTGCCTCCGGGACGGGGTAGTAGTTGACATCGATGGTCCTGTTTAGGTTGCGGGCGACGACTTGGGTAACTTCATGTAGTTTCTGGAAGTCGTAGATGCCTTCGTTGTAATCGACGAAGGAGGGCAGCGAAAGAGAGGCCAAGTTGCAGACGGCTACCTCATCGGGAGCCGAGTATTCGACGATCTCAGTGCACAAGTTTGAGCTACGGATAGTTCCAAGGTTCTTCTGGTTGCTCTTCCGGTTACAGTGGTCCTTGTAAAGCATAAAGGGATTTCCAGTCTCGGTCTGAGCCTCCAGAATAGCGTACCATAGCTTCTGGGCCTTAATCTTCTGGCGACCGCGACCTTCTGCTTCGTACTTCTCATACAAAGCCTCAAACTCATCACCGTAGACATCAGCAAGACCAGAGCACTCACTAGGGCACATCAAGGTCCACTCGCCGTTCTTCTCAACACGCTTCATGAAAAGGTCGGGAATCCAGAGAGCGAGGAAAAGATCGCGTGCACGGACTTCTTCTTTGCCGTGGTTCTTGCGAAGGTCAAGAAACTCGAAGACATCCTGATGCCAGGGCTCCAGGTAGATAGCAAAGGCACCAGGCCTCTTGTTGCCACCCTGATCCACGTATCTTGCAGTGTTGTTGAAGACTCGTAGCATGGGCACAATGCCGTTGGAGGTACCATTCGTGCCAGCAATGTATGAACCGGTGGCACGAATACGATGAATATTTAGACCAATACCGCCAGCTGTCTTGGAGATCATAGCGCAGGTCTTAAGGGTGTCGTAGATACCCTCGATGCTATCTTCCTTCATATCGACCAAGAAGCAGGATGCTAGCTGCGCCTGGGGCGTTCCAGCGTTGAAGAGGGTGGGGGAAGCATGGGTGAAGTATTTGCTAGACATGAGGTTGTAAGTCTGAATGACTTTCTCCACATCATCGCCCCAGATACCAACAGCTACACGCATGATCATGTGTTGCGGTCGTTCTACAATTTTCTCGTTGAGCTTTAGTAGGTAAGATCGCTCTAAAGTCTTAAAGCCGAAGTATTGGTAGTTGAAATCTCGGTCATAGACAATTGCGGAGTCGAAATCCTCCTTGTGTCTCATAACACATTCGTACGTCTCTTTGGAGATCATAGGAGATGGTTTCATATTCTTCGGGTTGACGTAGTGGTAAAGGTCGCTAATGACAGAAGACCACTGCTTCTTCGTTTGTTTGTGGAGGTTTGACACGGCAATACGTGCAGCAAGGATAGCATAGTCTGGGTGAGTGACGGTCATGTATGCAGCCGTCTCAGCTGCCTATAAGAAACAATTGGTTAGAAAAGAAAACTAGCTCATATAAGATATTGTGTGTACTTACAAGATCGTCAAGCTGGACTGTGGTCACACCACCATAGACACCAGAGATGACCTTCTGAGTAATGGCAACGGGATCGACATGGTCTGTATCTAGACCATAACACAGTCTCGAAACACGGGCTGTGATCTTGTCGAACTGAACGCGCTCCTGGCGTCCATCACGCTTCTTGACATACATGGTGAAAGTGGATGTTGGGTTTTGGGAGACCCGTGAAAGGAATGGCGGTGGGGTTGGAAAAAGAAGAATTAAGTAACGAAGAAGGAATAAAAGTTAAGATTTAAGTAATGGGAATAATCAATTCAGAACCACAGCTGTATGCAAGAGCATGCAGATCCAATGTATGTAGTATGATGTTATGATCTGTTGTGGTTGATGTTGAGTGGGAGATGTTTAGAAGGAAAAGACTTCGAACATAGTGGATTTTTATGTAGAAAACGCGTCCCAATATAAATTATTGGCGCGTTTCCGGATTAGCGTGTAAAGAAAAACAGTCGGAACAATTAAACCCTCGTTGGCAGGCGTTTGGTTAAGTTTCGCCAGCTGCAATCGCTTGAGAATTAATCAGCAAGGGCTTGCCCCTGCCTGTTTGTTCATGACTGGCAGAAAAAAAAAACCACTAAACGCGTCTTGACGCGGGGTCGAAGTTATGGGTAGGATCAAAGTGGGATACGTATCGTTCAGTTTAATGTACCTATGTATTTACACGTATACATCTTAAGTGGTGCTAACCTTACATATACATAATTGAAACTTCTCTACTCTTAGATTATTTCTTTCTTTTTATCTTACTATAAATTTTATTTTCAGACCTTATTGTTTAATAATTTGTTAAACTCAAAGATGACATTTTGTTGTCGTTAAGTGCTTGCAGGATTCTGTCCTACCCTCCCCTGTTCAATCTCTCTCTCGGCAACATTTGCCCCGCATTTAGGCCTTGGCGGACATGATACGTACCTCTATACATCTAGTAACTACCAAGTATATTCAAACTAGAATACTCTGAAGAAGACTTAAGTCTATAAATGAAGTATAACACTTTCTCGTAGAGATATTGCTTTAATACACCAATTAACAAGAATTTCAACCTCGAATCAGCAGTACTACATATGCAAACGTTTCTTGTGCTTGGGTTACATGTGAATTTGAACCCCTGCCGTTTACTCCACGAAAGCACGTGCGATATGATAGTTTAATTTAGGAAATCTGAAAAATACATAGGAGATGTATCTTTACATCTAAGATCTAATACATCAGATAACATTAACGTCGAGGCTCGTCCTACGCTTAAAAGTGACTCATCACATTAACCCATGCAATACATCCGATTATTATTAGTCTAAAGATAATACAAAAGACTAATAAGGTTATAAACATTAGCTGCCTAGTTATGGAGAAATAATGAGTCCCTGTTGAGATAATCCATCCTTGATGCTTTTTCAGAGTCCATTACTCTTCCGTCTCATACGCTCGAGCCCCAAACGCTTATCAATTATAATTCCTAATAGAGGCATATATTCGTCAGTCCCTAAGATGTCTACTAGCGAGCCAGATTCTGTGTCGGCATCTGGCCCGGCAAATGAGACAACTTACAAACCACGATATATTGATGTAAGTCAACTCCTTAACGTTACTAATATAACCCCCTCTGATATATTAATCATTATGAATATTCTGAGACACGATACTTGTAACTTAACTTGCATCTCATTTATCTTAGTTTCATCACTAATTGTCTTTTTCTAGATTGGTATCAACCTTGCAGACCCAATATTCCGTGGCCAGTATCATGGTACCCAACGACATCCCGACGACCTCAGCGCCGTCGTATCGAGAGCCCGGGAAGTTGGTTGCCATAAGCTTATAATCACGGGCTCCGACTTCACTAGTTCTAGACATGCTCTTGAGATAGCTAGAGAATACCGTAAGTAAAACTTAGACTTGTCTTACTGGTTCAGGACCGGAGTTAGCTGACTGAACGGAAGCCGGTACCGTATACACGACCGCTGGCATTCACCCCTGCTCTAGTGCCATATTCAGCACAACACACTCCCATGTAGATACAAACGGGCACACGATGCCCTGTGATGCGGATCCCTCTAAACCCATCTCAGAAGATGATGAGCCTGATATTGAGAGGACGACGTCAATCATTGAAGAACTCCGAGATCTCATTAATCAGGCACGGAGTAGTAGTAGCGTTGGCCCGAGCCCACTCGTCGCCTTTGGCGAGTTCGGGCTCGACTACGACCGCTTACACTACTGCTCCAAGAAGATCCAACTCCACTCGTTCGCCGCACAGCTCGACCTAGCCGTATCCCTAAAACCGCAACTACCCCTATTCCTGCACTCGCGCGCCGCGCACTCTGACTTTGTCAGTCTCTTAAAAGAGAAATTCGGCCCGCAACTCGAGAAGCTAGAGCGCGGCGCCGTCGTCCACAGTTTCACAGGCACTGCCGAGGAAATGCGCGAGCTTATGGATCTTGGGTTGTATATCGGCACCAACGGCTGCAGTTTCAAGACCGCCGAGAACTGTGCCGTTGTTCGCGAAATCCATCTCGACCGCCTTATGCTCGAGACCGACGGGCCCTGGTGCGAAGTGCGTCCCAGCCACGAGGGCTGGAAACACCTCATCGAGGCACCAAAGCCTACAGACGTACCCCAACCGGTCGCGAGTACGAGTACGAGTACCGAGGCGAACAGCGCAGAAACAACTGGTACTAGCACCCCGTCAGAATCGGTAAAGCGGCAACCCAAGGGCAAGCAACAGCAACAATCCAAGAAGCAGCCGAAGAAAAAGGAACCGGAAGTCCCAGAACGCTTCAAAGTCGTGAAGAAAGAGAAGTGGGTTGAAGGCGCCATGGTGAAGGGTCGTAACGAGCCATGTATGATCGAGCGGGTCGGAAAAATCGTTGCTGGCATCAAAGGCGTTTCGGTAGAAGAGGTTTGTGAAGCGGCTTGGCGGAATACGATTAAGGTGTTTCCCGTAGACGAATAGAACAGACTACTAGAAAGCAAATGATAAACATCAGGAAAGTTAGATTTATAGACACTTTCAAGGTGAAAAGACGAAAGCCTTTTTTTTCTTCGTATTAGGCCGCTCCCGAAATGCTTCACTGGGTATATGATAACCTATCCGACATGCCTCATTCCTAGAAATCAGAATACAAGCACCCAATGCTATGCATAGTATTTCCTTGTCCGACAACGCTAGCCATGGCAAAACAACAGCAGGAAGTACTTGTAGTGCGATAACTCATAATCCCGAACCCTTGAAGCCTTTTATCCTACCGTGCCGCACAGCTCCGATAGTCACACCCTCCTCGCCCGTCATCCACCCTGGCATCTTCTCTCCGTCAATGATCCCTGCTTCAACTAACTGCCGTATGCCTGCAAAGACGTGAGACCCGTGGAAAGAAAGCCTAATCTGAGGCGCCCAGTCGTTTTCTCTCCTTCCATCACCAGTATCATCAGCATTCTCCTGATCTTCTACCAATACGCTCATATTGAGTGTACTTCGACGTCCCTTCGACGACTGTCGCGATAGTGCAGCTGCCCTGTCTGCGTCATTCTCCCTTCGCATTTCAAACTCCTCATCGTCTGAGAAATTAGTAATATCTGCGGGAAACGGGTCCTCGATTAAGACATCCAGCCTCTCTATCCCCTTTCCATCGTCCACTTTTGCGGCGCTGCCAAAACGCGCCTCTGCTGCTAAACGTGCTTGTTTCGCTTGTTTCTCATCCTCCACATCCGCTGGATCACTCACAGGTCTCCTACGCTTACGGCTATCGCTATCCGGCTTATCAGCGTCGACGGACGATGCGTCTGATAACGGCGGCGTGGGTAGTAATGTCTGTAAGGGGCTGTCGGTTTTAAGATCTGAAGTTCCTGTGCCAGCGTAGATGCTCCAGCCACCACCTGCGGCATTTGTGCGGCCCGCGCCCTTCACAGCCAACATGGTAGCAAGATTCTTTGTTGTCAAGTTCGTCCCCTTTAGGGTATACCGTTCGCGTGGTCGCGACAACGCCTTCGGAATACCCTCCACAATAAGAGCACGTAGGCTCTTTGCTTCACCTGCCGCGCTTGCCGACGAGGAAGCGCCCCCCGTAGCAGATTTAGATATATAGATGTGCGGCGAGGCGTCCGGGAAAGCAATGTAGATAGTCCTAGAGGCATCAAAGCTTGTCGATATGCTCTTATTGCCATTTCTGTCAGGACGGCCGCGATGTCTCGTTGAGACCGCTAGGTCTGTGTTATAAGGGGAATCGATAATGAAAATGCGCAATAACAGGAGCGGCATGTCCTTTGGTCGATCAAAGTTATAATGGGCCTTGACGTCGGGAAGCACCTCGGCCTGCAAATTCTGTAAGAAGGTAGACGGATGGAAACGTGGTACAGCAAGCGACTCTTTGTCTATTCTCTCCGGGCCCTCGGCATTATCCTCGTGCGTCGGAGCCTTAAGTTGTTGGATACGGTAGGCAGTCCACTTGAGACTGCCAGGATGATCGTATAGGTACTGTAGATCTGCCATTGCTAGCTGGTATAGACTAAGACCGTATCGCCAATCGCCTTCGAGAATCCTGTCGACTACTTCGCGTCGGCCGCCTTTCCTATCCTGCATAGACTCATAGAGTCCTCGTAACTCCTCCAGCGATTCTGCGGGAGGGTAAAAGTCATCTTCGTCTTCATTGTCGGGAGCTTCTAGTCGGCGGAGAAGTGGCGGACATAGGTATTGGTTTCTTTCGTCTAACCAGTCTAGCACAAGCGATAGGAGCGACGATCGCGAAAGGCGATTAAGAGTTTTGATCACAGTGTTGTTTGCGGGGTCAACTCGTAAGGATGGGGAGAGACGGGCTGTTGTTGGCAATGACAGTCGTGCCATGACTGCATTGATTCTTATTCTTTCTCCCTTAGTCAAATATGTCAATTTCGAACGATATAATCGAAGTAGTATCTATAAACTAGATATAGAGTAACGAGTGTATATGGATTGTCTGATTGATGCTTTGAGGTTGAAGTGGGACACGCGACGCGTCGGAGATTTATTTCATCTTATCGCATTTTGGTGTTATGAATGGTTCGGTTTTCCTGTTGTCCTACCCAACCCAATTCAATTGATATTATTAAAATGTAACCTCTACCTAAGCGCTTAGAGATAGCCCGAAGCTGAGCTTAGAGTTTGAGAGCAAATTGTAACCATTAAGTATTGACAATATATTGTAAAGTTACCTAAGGTATTGTACGTCAAGATCGTAATTGACAAGGGTAGGATACGTAGTGCCAAGTGGCTGCCAAGTGTTGCCAGCTGCTAGCTCAGATACCTGGGTACATGTAGTTATGTCATCGAAGACGACACATGTATTTCGTACTTTGTATCTCATGTCTTGCAGATTCAATCCGTGGGATTACCTATTCCCATTCTCAAAATTCATGTATCAAACACCGATATCACTCGGAAATATAAAACACGCAATTGGCTGGAATCTTTCTCAGAATATATACCATACATATGCACTAATCATTAGTTCTCTTTGGTAAGCCATACGGCAACTCAGGAGATAGAATCCAGAGACATACATATATGAATTCCCCGATTGATTTATATAGAATACAGATAAATACTAACATAGTGTATGCGCCAGGACAGCTGACAGATCCTCCTTCCTTATAAGGGAACCCGCATATGCTCATCCGATAGGTTCCTGCAACTCGGGAAGCATCCTTGGAGACGTCGCCGCAACTCTGAGAAGCGCCGGTAGAATGGATCTTAGTTAAGCAGTATGGTAAGAAAGATACCGAGGCCCCGAACACCCGAATTCAACCTTGACTTGCCCTAATATGTACTTTTGTACATAGGTATTACCCCACGCTACCCGATAGCGGATGGATGAACTCTTGGCGAACGAGTGCGGGATGGATGGAGGGAGGGTTTGATTTTTCTTGGGTCTGTTGGGTAAGGCAAGAAATATCTCTAATATGTAAGGTCCTTGAGATATCAGGACCTTTCCCGTCATGTTCCATGCACGTACTTGCATATCTACCAGTCTACCGACCCTACCAATTACATACTGCTAAGGTGATTGGTGGTATAAGGGAGGGAACTGTAAGATACTCGACTTTTGGTGCAACAAAGGATTAACAAAGTTGACGTCAAGAGTTATCGTAGTCAAACGCTGATCTGTTATTTTTCGTCGCCTGCATATCAAGATCACGTCGGATCATACCATCATAGAACTGTCGATCATGACTCGCCACCAGTCCAGGTTAAGGCACGTACTGTAGTATGGTAGACAAGCATACATATAAGCAGACAACCCTACAAGCAAAAATTACCTGATACTATCGTGAGATGAAATAGAATTCGTAACGCAAGCAAGGGCTATAGAGCCTTGGCAATCTTGTGTCCCCATAAACCATTTCCCCTCCCATTGGTTTGGTTGATGATTTCTAAGCATGAGAGTAATATTGCTTGGTAAAAGAAAAGAATAGGGGTCCCCTCCACCAAATATATAACTATTATAGCAAATTGCACTATGCAACAGAGTGGAATAAACGAGCATAAAAAAGCTACAAAGCCAAGTTTTCTATTTTATCACCATGCAGGACGGCTTGGGATAGTCAGGGTCCAAGTAATTCTAGATAGGTTGTAGTAGTGGGGGTTCCTGTATTGCCTGTACAAATACACGCGGGTGTGTGGGCGAGGTGGGAAGTGTAGAACTCTCCGCGACATTTTATTGGTTCGACCTAATTTGCTTGACTAATAGGTCATCCACTCAAAGCCCGGACTGTATGCCGCTTCTGGTATACTCGGGTTTACGTCGTAGGATCATGAGAGGAACTATTGGACTAACCTAACTAACTTGCAGATGCAAGTACAGTTACATGGATACCATGCGTCTCCAATTTGGAATCAGATAATAATATCTTGCTCCTTCCCAAATATTCATATCATCTAACTTGTCAATGAATTTAGAAAATGCGGTGTTGAATAATTCTAGACTACCTATCAAAGAGTTTACGGTCAACGTCAGATCTTTGTATAGTGGAAGTGTAAGCACGGTATACCGCATATACTGACTAATTAATACCGATCAATATCGGTTACGAAGAAAGAGGGGCAAGAGGAGAGGGTTTTTTTTTTTTTTTTTTTTTTCATCTTCCCTAAAACGTCAACCGAGCGTCAGCTGTTATTAAGTTATAGGCGGACCCATCACCCATCGGTCAAAATCGGTGGTGCTAGCTGCAAACTTGGCTTTTGTCCGGCCGTCCTTTGACCCACTACCACAACTTTGAAGTACTTCTTCCGAACGCTACCAACTTTTTACTTTTACATTTACACAAGACATTCTACCCGCCGCCATCTTCTCCCGGTTCAAAAATTTCCGCCGTTTATTCTAGCAAATTTAAAACAATCATACCCGCCACATATCACAGCTTTGATATCCCGTAGCGAAGCGCGGTACAATCGATTCGACCCTACCGAATCCCGAAAGCTCTCGTGAGCTCGCCAAAGAGAGTCACTTGAAAATATGCCGCCGAGTTACTCCAGCCGGCGCGGCCAGGCCGTGAACGTGTCACAATTATTACAAGACTTGAATAGAGTCCCGGAGCCTACTGCAGCGCCGGAAGAAAACTTACGAAATCTCGACGATGAATTGGCCATGTTCACTAATACCAATTTCATCGATTGGGATGCAAACGAGAGCCAGCAGCAGCGACAACAACAACAGCAGCAACAGCAGCAGCAACAGCAACAGGCTTCATCAAGTGTTAGTTTGGACACACAATCAACAACATCGCCCACAGAAGAAGGGCCAATGAGTAGTGATTTAGCGGGATTTGACTTCAACCTGCCAGGTTAGTAGAAACAATTCTTTAACGTTTTTTGTTGTTTTCTCTTCCTATTTTCCTTACTTCCCTTTTTATTACCCAATTCAATTTTCTTCAAATTCAATTCATGAAGGATTCCGCCATTAATTCCCCCGCATTCATTATTGCGCTTTGGCGTTACACGATGGCGTTTGCACGTCAAGGGTTACTTTTCGAGGGTCCTCAATCTACAGCTCAGCAGCCTCGCTTGAACTGTTCGTGCCTGGGTTGGTACACTGGCCATCTACCTTCCAATCGTCTATGTGCGCGCGCATGGTTGGTATGGTAGGTACCGTACCTTGTTGCAGCGACCACCCAAGTCAATAAGTCAATGGAAGAAAGTGTATGGGAGGGTGTCCACCAAGCGGAGTCCCTCGTCTTATCACAAGCCTGGCACTTATGGCATTTTTGGCACTTCTTTATGACTGCCCCACTATGAGTTTTCATGTATTCCATCTCTGATTGGTTCGGGTTGCTCCATGTTGCATTTGAATTGCAGCGATCGCTCGGTTTAGGTGTGTTCTGTGCGTTCTGTGCCAGTGCCTATTATGGTCGCGAAAGACTACCCTGCGATGGCGCAATCGAGCTATGGTGCAATATCCCGTGATCTTTAGGTGATCTGGAGTAGGTTATTGAGATCAATAGCCAACCCAAATCCACCAAGTCCGCTGTCGAGAGTTCACAGCAATGGCTTAAACTTATATCCTCTCTCGACACTAAGTCGTCATCGATGATGTTTAGCACCTCAGAAAGGTTTTGTCACGATTCTGTTTTGCATTTGTCAATTGGGCCACAGTTTTTAACGTCACGTCATGTCTTCAGGCGACTTCAACGGGTTTGACTTTCACCCTTATTCAACGCCAAATGTCTCGGCTTTCTCAGACAACTTGGGAAACCTACAACCTATCCAGCCTTCGCCAACTTTCCCTGCCAATGGATCGCCACAGAGTGCCTACGGGGCTTCAATTCCGCAGACGGGAGATAAGCGAAAATCTGCTGACCCTGCCGTTCCACCTCGCCGGCAGTTGTCTTTCGAGGAGCAGTCCCGGTTAGCTGCGGAAGAGGATAAGCGGAGGCGGAATACGGCCGCTAGCGCAAGATTCCGCATTAAGAAGAAAGCTCGCGAGCAAGCTCTCGAAAAGCGCGAGAAGGAGTTAAGTGACAAGGTCGGGACCCTCGAGGGTCGCATTCAAACTTTAGAGACCGAGAACAAATGGTTAAGAGAACTTGTTATGGAAAAGACAGGCGGGAACGAAACGCTAATCTCCACATTATTGGAAAAGCATAATGAGAAGAAGCCAGCTGGAAAAGAGTCAGAGAGTAATGCTAAGGCGGAAGCCGAGAAGGCCTCATAGTAGACTCAGCATGATGATACCATTGAAACATTTAATGATGGCGTTACGGGGAAATCATATCGGTTGTACACCGTTAGGCGGCGGTGGCTTTGGGGATATATCACACGTCTGATTTTGAAGCATGATTCGAGGGTAATCGTCTTACTCTTAACTCCAATATATGAGCACATCTAGGTTTTGCCTAGCAAATCGCTATTTTCGTGATATTAATATTGTAGATGGCTTATAAACATCCTATCATTAGTTTTGATACGGCAGTAAGAATATCTTTTCTCTAAGTAGATAAGAGTATATGAGGCTCCCTCAACTTTGTTAGCGCTTTCGCCGGAATCTGAATTAAAAGGCTACCGTCTCCCACCGTCTTTGTTTTAACACCCCCGACGGATCCGCCACTCACCCCCCGGGTCCCAGTTACAATTGCTTACAAATAGACAAGTAAGGTAGGTACCACATCACACATCAATACTAGTACTCGCTTCAATGGCCCCCTTACTATTATATTAGGGCAAGCAGGGTTATGCTATGTTTGTCGTCCACAACAATCTACCATGGTAAAGATGATACGACAAGTTCACAAGATATGCATTTATACTTGACATAATGCTTCCTTGAAGGAAGACCCGGGTATTCATCCCCATTTCAATTGAACAAATAACAAATATATATGCATATCTCAATATAATTTGCCAGAATTGATTTAACTTCGTTTTTGTGCCTCCATCCTGAAACGCCCTAAGTATTTCAAAGTTATGTTCATACATCTCGAGTATATTAGCTTCCATTCCCGGGTTGACCCTCTGAAGACTGCGCTTTGGCTCTGAGTGCATCTAGACGCATCTTATTTCGCTTGCCCAAGATCCGCAGCGTATTATTCCGCTCGATCTCGGCCATTTCGGTCCAGTTGGAAATACGGCTCATCGTGCCGTCCTCGTTAACAACTAACGGGCCCACTGCAGCAGCAGCAATTGTCAGCAACGCTTATTCATTACTTATACGACTAATTTCTATTTCTAAGGGAGGAGAATAAAACGGAGATAGCAATGGTAGTGGCACTTACGGTGATCTAGTTTCACTCCTTCACCGCCTATAGGTAGCTGCGTGGCATCGCTGACCTGACTCGGCTCCGGGAGCGGCAGGGGCGTTTTCTGAGCGGAAGACTCTTGCTGATGCTCGTTTTCGTGATGTGCCTGCGTGGTCGTAGCCACTTTGTCTGCGTTGGCGCTAGGGTTTGTGTTTGGCGCTGATGACATGGCTCTTAGTGACGGCGGGTAAGAGCGGTATAGTTGATGTCGGTTATTGCTTAGGATTCTGAGGAGTGACTGCTTCTGAATAATTCTCACCATTTGTTTTTTGTTTTGTTTTTATTCTTTTCCAAGTGATATGTTTAGTTATATTTTTACTTTAAATCTTAATTATGAAGATGAACATACATGGTATGTGCTGAGAATTCACTTAGTCCTTCGTTCGACGATGCGCTTAAAGGTGGATGGAAGTTACTAGATACATCTTCCCCAGATGGGATGTAACACACGGACCACTTGCCATAGAATGCGTTTGTATACATGACTAATAAGTCACAACTTCTAAGACTTGAACGGCAACATCTACTCTAAGTCGAAAGTTAAAATATAGGGAGGTATAGTCTTAGCGGTGGCTCCTTTCTTAATACCTATACAGTCGACTTTATCGGAGAGTTACATACCTACCTATGTACCTAATGTTGTCGAGTTTTATATCTTTCCCATATAATATTGCAAATGATCATTAGCCAATATTCACCTGATTATTGTTCACGCTCACTTAAATTCAACATATTATTAATTATCAAAGGTTCTAATTCTATCTATTCTTCAATTCAAATCCATATATGCCTACATCCACGTTAAAGTACTTAAATAATCAAAATGGGCGGTGTCCAGTCTTCAGTTAAATCCCTATGGTTCGCCACAAAAGAAGTATTCCACTTAAGGGAGATATTTAACGATATCATGAAACGAACACACCAACCGAAAGGACCCCCGACGCCTGGAGAGACGGATTCCTACTAGCTAGAAGATCCGCCATATCCAGACATTGTCAATATCGTACAAGAGATGCCATCAGGCCAGGCCGAAGTCATCATCATTGGCTCTGGTATCGCCGCAGCTGCAGCCGCCTACTCCATACTGGTTGAAACCAAACGTATGGGCAACCTACGTCGCGTTCTTGTCATTGAGTCTCGAGAGATGTGTGGGGGTGGAACGGGTCGTGGCAATGGTGTTTTGAACTGCGCGCCACATGAGATGTTTCACAGGCTACGGAGTACTATAGGTCTTCATCGTGCTGCAGCTCTTGTAAGATTCCAGCTAGCTCATATCAAAGTGATGAGGGAGCTATCCCATGGGTTGGACCAGGACTATGCAGAATTCCGCGACAGAGAGATGGTAGAATTCTACCTTACCGAACGAGATCGCAAAATTGCGTTCGCTAAAGCGCATTTATTTGCACAGTGGGTTCCGGAATTCAAGATTGCAACCTATGGCAAGGATCAGGCGCGCGAGGTAAGTTTCCAGTCAATAGATATTATTAACTCATTTCCTAGAAAATGGAAGTTAACATGCAAATATTAATATGGTTATGCAGAGATTCAACGTGAGCCAAGTAGTGCAAGGGGCCTTATCATACGATTCAGCGGTAATACTCAAGCTTTCTATTCTCTCTTCTTACATTAACCTTAGCTACAGACAATGTGGCCGTTTGGATTCGTTAACTCTATGTGGCATGTTCTCTTACGCATGTATAAACAATTTCTCCACATAATGACACATACGAACGTTGTTGCCATTGACTCAGTTGAAGGAGACGCGTGGTATGTATGATATACGTTTCGTAGTATTATTTCCAACCATCCCTTTCTAAAATAGTCTCAAATCTGCCTTTAGGAGGTAACAGTAGCTAACCCTCGGTAGTAAGTGTGAAAGCCTATCATTTCCACTCATTCGAAAAAGGACGATGGAGATTCTAAGATTCTAAGATTGCAAAGCTGACTTGGAATATTTTCATACATAAGATGGATATGTGGTCCGAACCACGCGTGGCAACTTCAGATGCAATCACATCGTGCACGCTACAAACGCTTTCACCCCTAATCTTGTTCCCGGTCTGCGTAGCAAGATGACCGGGATCCTCGGAACCATGGCTGCGTTGAATCCAGGGTAAGTCATGGCGAGAATTCCCCTTCTTTTGGATCTGTCTCGGAAGTCAAAAGCCTACTAACTGACCTTATGGGGGTATCGTGGCCTCTGAGATTATGTTTAGATAATGGATGAATACTAATTTACGTAGACACAGGCTTTGCCTTTTCAACATGGGCCGCAGAAATGCATGGTCTGTTGTACATGGGAAAACAAGTGACAATGCTATGCAGCGACCATCCAACGACCATGTCATTATTAGTGGAGGGTTCTCGTGCGCAGAAGGCCACGGTGCAAGCAAGATTGGCGTGTAGGATGATGCCCTCTTGGACCCCCTGGCCGCTGTTCATCTCAATGGAATATTTCCGTTGATATTCGGGCCCTTTTAGGGCAGGGAAACGATATCGAACGACGGGAGAACTGTAAAAACATGGTCGGGAGTGATGAGTGCCACAGGGGATCTACTCCCATTCGTTGGCCGGCTAGATCCTTCATTAACAGGCCGCCGCCCAGACCTGCGGAGTAACAAGGCCCTAAACGATGGTTATAAACAGCCCAGCGAGTGGATTTCGGCCGGTTTCGGTGGTGATGGCCTGATGTGGACGTGGCTTTCTGGTATTGCGGTAGGAGTCATGCTTGCGGGTAGCGAGGAGATGGATATAGGACGGGAGGTGGGAAGGCCCAATGGGGTTCTAGCCTCTTGGTTTCCGGACGAGTTAAAACCGACAATCAGGAGGCTTAGAGACTCGGATTTCGGCAACATTGCTATTCGCTTCATCTGGTCAATACTAACAAATCGGGAGTCTACAGAACCTGGTGATCGCAACCCTTACACAAATCGTATCTACGAAGCGAGCGCTAACGATTTACTGCTATGACCGAGGGGAGAAGAGCAGTTGCCCATTCAAAGAATACAGCGGTATGTTTCTACGTATAGCGAGTTATCTTGTTTGTATCAACTTACGTAACGATAGACGCCAGTAAGGCGTGACTACTTGGTTTATAGAGTAGAGTATAGTATAATGTGTATTATTCAATAGACAGCGAGGGAAATGTTTAATATTAATAATAGCTTCTCTTTGCCTGATATAAACTTCCTTCTCTTATATAGAGTAATATGGTGTCTTCTGTCATAAGCCCGTTTCGTCTTGGGTAAACATTTATTCTATGATCTAGTTAATAATAATGTAATCTACACATACCTAATTAAGTACTTTAACATCCGCGAAGAACTGTCATGGTACCACTACTAGTTTATGTGAACAAGCTCTCTGACTACTACGGTACCAGAGTATAGTCTTGAGACTCGACCTAACACTTCCGGCGGAACTATTTCGCCATCAGTCTGCACAAATTTAAGCCTTTTCGTACATTTATATACATCACGACTGCGATATGTCCGCATGACACACGGCGGCATAGCAGCTTCGGGACCAATAAATCCTTGCCTATTCCACCTAAGCGTGCTGTCCATGGAAAGTTTTGCTCTTATGTCCAGATGCTTGATAACAAATGGTCGAAAGACGTTCGCTGCCCACTTCTGGATCTGATCCACGATACTTAGCAGACTTACGGCGTGGATCGGAAACTTTACGTCGCCTGCCCAGATGGTCTCTACGTTCTTCACCGGGTTTAGCTATTACTGGTTCTGGCTTTAGTAGATGCCGGTTGCGACTTACGTGGTACTCGCCGTAGCGTCGAGCTACGTAGACCCTCCACTCGGACGCGCAGGATGTAAAGGCAAACATCTGATATTCGCGGCTGGTCCGCCATTGGTACATGGTCGGATCTCTGGGGTCGCGGACGACGCTGTCTAGCAGTCCTAGGTACCGGTCGCACGCATGCGCGATCTGCGCTTCGGCCTCGAAGTCGGAGGAGTAGCTCTTCTTGGCTTCGTAGATGGCGAAGGGGAACACGAAACTCCCCGCGTCGCTGTCCCGGTCGAACGGCACCCGGGTCACTTCGCAGATCCGGGACAGGGGGACCCAGCCTCTGGCGCTCTGGACTTCGGTCTCGAAGCCGCCGTAGGTGGGCTGGAAGCCGAGGGTTGCGTCTGGCGTTCGCTTGATTATTTGCCAGTCGCCGTGTTTGTTTTTTTCAAGCGCTGTGTAGTCGATTTTGTCCCTGCTGTCGGGTTAGCTTGATATTCGATACCTTGGTGCTTGGTGTTGAACGAGGGTTTTAGTACATTCGAAATGCGTCTTCTTCTCGGATTTGGTCAAATACGTCCTCCCACGCGTGGACTTCCCAGCAGAATTCGGATACATTGCGTCTGTTGCAGTTGCGCCAGACCCGTTTGTCTAGTCGCTGCACTCGCTCGTTAAACCGGTCAAGTTCTTTTGGATTTAAGCTACGCTCGTACTCGTGAGCGGGCAGAGGGGAGAATATACAGGACGGCCTGTCGGTATTTCTCTTTTTATAGTGCTTTTTACTTGTAGAAGTCATTTCGTATGGAAATAATTAGATAATTTAATTGAGTAAGTCAGCTTGGTGGTAACTAGGGACGTAAAGTAATAAGGTCTTTGAATGAGCTCTGCGTTTGGAGGCATTGCTACCTGTGTCCTATTCAGAGCTGATCTCAAGGGGTGGTGTTGGTACTTGGATGAAACACGACTGGCCAAATTGTGGCCGGCCGATTCCTTCGACGGTTGCCTCCCATCTTATTGACTTGATTTCACAGCCTCATTTGTATAACCTTTGACTTATTTATGGAAGACTATGCCTTGAATTTATAAAAGATCTATCATATCGTACTATTATCGGGTTATAAATGTTACGTTTTTCTTCGATCCGCATGGCTTTCATTGGAAAGCTAGATTAAGAAAAGTGTAGTTGTCGTTATTGGTTTTATGTCGTCTTGCAGTCATCAATTGCGTGATCGTCTTCCCCATATTTAAGCCTTTTTGGTTGTCAGCAGCACAACTCTAGATTCACTGCAATTCGATCTATATACTAGAACCTTTCCCATTTGGGGAATTATCTCCTTACCTTGCAGTTGGATCTCCTCCAATGATATGCTACTCTATAGTTCTTGCGTGATGCTACCTAACCCCGAATCACCACTGATAAGAACGTACGGCAAGCCGCCGATTGATACGCTGCAATGATTTTTTATACGACACGATTATACCCCAGTATATTCCCCCCAAAGCCTAAGTTAGAAAGACCAATTTGAATTCCAGGAATAGTTCCTAACTAGGAGTTTCAAAAATGGCGGAAGCGAAGCCATCGCGGTCCTTTCGATCTTTTATATGGGATACCGATACTCACCTCAAGAGCCCAGAGGAGCGGAAACTCCTGCGGAAATTAGATTGGTCCATCTTGACAATTGGTTGCGTCGGCTTTTTCATGAAATACCTTGATCAAGGAAACCTCGCCAACGCCTATGTATCAGGGATGCAGGAAGATCTCGCCATGTACGGAAATGAGTATACCTATGCTCAGATGGCCTATACTTGCGCGTACGCCGTTATGCAGATCCCAAGTACCCTTATTGTTCAGAAGATTCGTCCGAGTATATGGCTAGCCGGTATGGAGGTAAGCTCTCCTTTTCTCACTGCTTGGCTCAATAGACAACTAATCTGCTTTGTAGGTGGCGTGGGGTGAGTAATACTATGCGCAGTGAATCGGTTTCTACGGGTTATTTACCTAGCAAGATTACCTCTTATACAATTACTTCCTCTGCTACAAAGCCCAGGGTGGAATCTCAAATTTCATTAGTCGAGGATAAACGTCACTAACTAACATGAATCTTTCGGCAGGAGCCTTCACTTTTGCTCAGGCCGGCCTACATACTCACGGGCAGCTATACGCCTTCCGCTTCTTTGTAGGGTTCTTTGAATCTTCTTTCTTCCCCGTCTTGTTGTACGTGCTGGGAAGTTGGTATACCAAAACCGAACTCGCGAAAAGGGTTGCTATATTCCATATGACTGCGCCGCTTGGTTCTGCATTCGGTGGCTACCTCCAAGCAGCAGTATACAAGAACTTAGATGGGGCGCATGGGCTAGCCGGCTGGCGATGGCTGTATATAGTTTGCGGCGTAAGTTTAGACTCAACTCCTAATTAATTTAGAATTCGGTATACTAATCGAGGTTTAGTGTATGACTGTTCCTGTTGGCGTTGCCACGTTCTTCGTCCTACCGGATACACCATACACAACGCGGTCCAGGTTCCTCACTTCGGAAGAGTGCCAACTAGCCATTGAGCGAGTAACTAAGGCAGGTAAAGCAGCTCCGACCGGTGTCAACCTACAAACATTTAAGAGAGTGTTGACGAAGTGGAGGTGGTACGCTTTCGTTTTTGGCTATATCGTAAGTTCCCCTTTGGTCGATTAAAGGGGAAAATATGCTGACGGCTAGATGAAGCTGTATGGCGAATCATGCCAAGCCAGTGGATATTTCGGCATTTGGCTCAAGTCTGAAAACTACTCGGTTGTTGATCGGAATGTCATCCCAACGGGCTCGAAGCTGATAAGCGCCGCATGCGTGATTCTGTGGGGATTTCTATCTGACTACACCGGTAGTAGATTCGCTTTCATCTTGGGACCATTGGTAGGTATCTTCTCGTCACTTTTCTTGGAGGCCTATGTGCTAATAGAGACTACAGATTTTAGGCTTGATACCAAATGGAATACTAGCATTTTGGCCGGCGAGCATTCCCCTAAAAGAATTTGCCTTTCTCACCAGTAGTATACACCTGATGACCGCTGTTTTGTAAGCATATCTCTAAATTCTGCCTGAAAGAGGGTGTTTTTAAGGCGAATGTCCACTAACGACTATTTTCAGCTACACCTGGGCCAACGAAATCTGCGCTGGAGATAATGAGGAGCGCGCTTTAGTGATCAGTAGCATGAATGGCTTTCAGTACGCTGTTGATGCTTGGCTTCCTATCGTGATATTTCCACAAACCATGGCCCCAACATTTAGTACGTTGTTCTGGAATGATTGCCTATTCTTCTATTCGACCGAAATTGATTTCTAATGCTTAACAGGACGCGGGTTTCCGGCTACTTGGGGATTCGTAATTGCCGCAATCTTTGCCGTTGTTCTTATTAGAGTCTTGGTATTTAGGGAGCAAAGACTTAAGACCGGCGACAGCTTGGCTGATTTTGGGGTTGTGACTTATACCGAAGAGGGAGTCAATGATAGCGGAGATCAAGGAGAGGATACCAGAGATAGAAAGACCAATATATCGGTCTGATTAACCACTTCGAACAGCATCAAAAGATAGGTAGATATCTAAGTAATAATATTTAACTAGTCGTGGATAGGTAATCAGGGCATATAGTAAAAAATTACAATTGTCTAGTTAGATTTAAGTTCAAGTGTCATTTCAAACAGCTAACAGGTGCTTTATATACATTGGATCATGGGTATTAGGTTTATACTACTCTATTCAATTACCTCACATTAGCCATCCGTTCCCGAATAGGGGCTTATATACGACGACAACATATTACCGTATACTATAAATTTACTCAAAAGAATCATAGGCTTTCTGGAGAAAAGGAGTGTGTATAAGTACGTAATGAAAAGTAACTAGTCTGAACTCCCACCCCACTGCAGTAGTTGCGTTAAGCAAGTTCTAACACTTGCAAGTATATCCTGAATCTGTCCAGCTACACTGATGAGAATTCAGAGCGCGGTGCCTAACCCAGAGCCTCCAGGACTTTCTGGCACATCTTGATACACTTCTCCTCCTCTAGCCGATTTGCCACTAATTGTAGACTCACTAGCATCCCGTCAACAATTTTTGGGTCGTCTAAAGAACATGTTAGCATATCCACAATATTGCAAAGAAATTGGTAATTATCTGACATTCTGACTGAATCTCCTTATCCAGGTCTGATAATGGCAGAACGTCAGGCGGGTACGGGAGGTCAATCGACGCATCAACGACACAGCCAGTAGGAAACGATAGGCAGGAGTAATCGACAACATTGAAGACGCCGGTATAAGCAACTATACAACAGTAGTTAGCATTGACTGAGTTTAGGAGCGTGAGACATTAACGTAAGTGAATAGCCTACTTACCGTGTTTGTACTTTCCATTCTCCACGCTGCTGTAAGGAGTTGTCGGACATAAGATGGCATCTATGCCGGCTGTTACCCACCGATCCAGGTATTTCTTCTGAAAATCTTGACGTTCGAGATGTAACTGCCAATATTCGTATCCACCGATCTCGCGAGCATTCTCGTACGGTGCTAGCTCAGGGCGCCATGGTTCCCCGGTATGCTCCAGTTCCTTTCGGATAGACTTGCCGCCATCGGCATAAAACATGCTATTCAGCAGATCTAGGCCGTTTGACTGGTCCTCGGGAGACCACTCGACGATTTCATGACCAGCGGCCCTAAGTTTGCTGACTGTTTCCTCCAAGACCCTTTTTACGGGTGGCGTCGGTCGCACCATCCCATCGTTGTACATAACCGCAATCTTGAGCTTATTGGGTAGCGTCACGGTCCGCCACGGAATAGGCAGGCAACGGGAGTCTACGTTCCATGGCTCCGCAGACACGATCGTTCTGCACCAAAGCTCAAGGTCGGTTAAGTTGCGGGTTAAAGGCCCGTTCACAGATGGGACAGCTTCCTGGCCGGGCATACCAGAACGGCAGCGTAGCGTTGGAAACCGTCCGAAGGATGGCCGTAAGGAGAAGATACCGGTACACGCCGCCGGGATGCGGAGCGAGCCTCCAATATCCGTCCCAACACCCCACGGGCTTCCCTTAAAAACAACCAAAGCCGACTCTCCACCGGAGCTGCTACCACTCGTAAGGTCCCGATTGCGTGGGTTAACGGTTCTTACGAAGATATTATTCACAGTTTCTGCAATCATCATAGCGGTAGGCACGTTTGTTTTCAGATAAACAACGGCGCCGGCTTTAATCAAGATATCAACAAGTATAGATTCGTATTTGGCTGGATCGCCTATATGTGAGGTAAACCCAACAGTCGCGTCTAGCCCAAGGAGGTTGAAAGTGTCCTTTAAAGAAATAGGAATGCCGTGCAAAGGTCCGACTGTCTTCCCTGTTTCGTCAAGATATTTGTCTAGCTCCTTAGCTCGATTAAGGGCACGGTCAAAACATGTCTCCGAAAGACAATTTACCTAAGATGTACGTTAATAATGTGCTTAAGTTACATAAAACGTGGGATATATGTTCACATACTAGTTGTTGCGCTGCCACGGCCCTCTTAATGAAGGCCTGCGTGACGGCCACAGACTTGAGTTCTTTGGAAGCAAGTTTCGAAAGCAGGTCAGAAGCTGTTGCTTCGGTAATTTTCCTTTCATCATCCGTAAACCAGGACGATTGATCCGGAAAATTGATGACCTCGAGCTGAGAATCGGGTGGAAGCTGATCCTCGGGGACAAGCAAACCCGCGAGGGAGTCCAGTAGACTTTTACGCTTGTTGGAAGCGAGAGTATCCCAAGTTGACATCGACATGTTGTTGAGTTTATTTCTCGAAGATATCCAGTGATGTTTATTGAGCCTTGCTTGTGATTTAAATGAGAGCCAGCGTCAGTTCTTATAGCTGATTTCTCTTCCTGCTGCAATGACCTAATGCGAGCATTTCTGACATTCTTCACATGTCAAGACCAAACACGTCAGTTATTTTATTAATTACTTCTATACGAAGCTGAATGCGCCCATTTGGAGTAATTCTCATGTTACTTTGGACCAGGCCGCTTGTTGATCAGACTACTTGGAGCCACAATGCAAAAGTATCGATCAAAGCTGAAATGCCACTGTAATCATACCTACATATAATGGCGGTGTAGGGACGGCAATACAATCTGTTTCACCTATCAACAGCCATTCTCCGCTCCTTTTCTCTTCCATAAATCTTTACTTCTATATTATTGATGTGAATTGCCTCAACCTCCGCTGAAAAGAGTCTGCATACATCTTGGTCAAATTGCTCCATTATAAAAATTTTGATATGCTGTGCCACCATCATCTATACTTAGGAAGAGCCCGATATATTGCAGGTTGCAGCGACCGTAGTGACCATTAGAAGTGCGAATTATTGTCTATTAATTTCTAATCCATGTCTGTACAACCTTTATTTAACCGGTTGTCTTGTTTCTCAGTTAGTATTGGACCAATACCATTTATATTGCAGCTTATAAAGGTTTCAAATGAAACGTGTGCTTATTATCACAAGGCCTTCTCATGAAACATTGACTGCAGACGCAATATGCATAGACATCAGCTTCAAAGGTAAGGGAGTTGGGTTGTATTGATAGGCTTACATATTACTTCATACCGTAATTAGAAGAGAACGTACTGTTTAATCTTCTGGTTTTAACGCTTTTCCCATATGAATTTTTCCTATCCAACCTCTATACTTCAACTATGCAAGGTTTGTGTTGGGGTTTATCTAGCCGCCAAGAAAGGAAAGGCAACTGTTAAAATTGAATAATTATTGTTACAAAGCATAAATGCGGTTACATAAAGGAAAAATCTATTATAAAATTATTTTATATTAAGTAAACAATAGAAAGGTCGGCCTTGTTAAAACGCTATATTATAGAAAATCAACCAATAGCAACGGTTAAACGCCAGCCATGTAAAGATAACGGTGCTGGCAAAAAATAAAACTTACGAAGGCTTTTACAGTGTTAACTAATCTGATAAAATTTAACACAATAACTCTTGTAAATGAACTCGGGCATAATAATCATGCTAGACAAGATAATTTGTCTACGTCATAAAGCCAGATGGTTCTATCCTATTAATCACTTGTTAGGCAGATCTATTAGAAAACACAGATCTATAGATGAGGCCTCGTACGTGATACATATGTAAAGGAAAAGGTCGCAACAAAGGATACATATAACTGACACCAATATTCGAAGCAGGAAAGGCAAAGAGGGAATGGACAGCCAGCCACAATTATATTTCCCGCGGGGAAAATCCTCAATGACGTAACATTCTCGATGCAAGAGAGTTATGGACCAATTGCTTGTTTTTCAGACATATTCTTTCAAGACATTACTTAAACGTGTAACTGTGCCCAAAAGGTAGCTTGTAACCACTGGTCACGGCATTTTCAATCCTCGGAGATAAAAGATCCATAACCATCAAAGATGTCACGGCTTCCAGCACCCTACTGCTATATTAGTCTATATAACCAAGTGATCGGACATCGTGAGGGCAGCAAACATTAAATATGTAGCAAAGACGTATTTAACAAATTGAGATGTAAATTAAGGGGTATTGATTGACGAATTCATAAGTAAAAGCACTGTATCCAACTGACTTAATAGCATAGAATATGGTACCTGCCTCGCCACGCTGGAATTACCTAGCATGCCATTGTATGGTGTGTAACTGTCAGGGTATAAGTGGGTAAGGAGGCCTACAGGGATCTATCTACTATATAAGGGCGCGTAGCGCCCTCGAAAGAGAGTAGAAGCCGGGCGTTACTAGTTCAATATATCATCCTTTTGGTCTACCTATCTTAGATATTCACTCTGTATATGACATTAATCACCTGGGTATAAACCTCCTGACAGTAACGGTCTCGTAAGTTTGGGGGTTATAGTGACGATCAAATTAACTGTAAATACAAAAGTTCAATTTCTTCTTGTTACTCTCATAGACGGCTTACGTTAGATGTATTCGAGGCACAGAAAATAATACAAGATTATATATAGATTCGGCATTAAAGCTTAATTGGATACAAATCACATTATTAAAGCATAGTAGGCAAATAAAAGTCTATGTCAGCACATAATATAGTTGAAAAATGTACACGGGGAAAGCGTATTTGCCCCATCTATCCTCACACATCTATAAATAAAGACTCATCAAAGAGTCCAGGATTCTTATTATAGGTAGAATACAGCATCCGATATCAACACGAGATCAAATCCAGGGGTTATAGAAACCACGTGATCATCACGTGATACATTAGTCTAGTATTTCTTCTATATTTACAATTGATGTCACTCCATCAAATCTACGTCCCCTGCTCTACTTTCTACTCTATCCTGTAATCTATTTGGAGATCTCTACACCGCCTACCGCGCCCAATGCCTTTTTTATGTCGCCATAGATGGCGAATTGTCCGGCAGTTAGAGTGCCTACCATGAAGAGACGAGCACCGATACCGCTGTAGGATCCACGGAGACCAAGTTCCTTAGCAATCTTGACAAGACGGCTAGTTGTGCTCTCACCGGGGAGACCCTTGGTCTTGTTGATCTTGGACAGCATAGTGTCAGCGGGCTGGGAGACGATGGCAGCGGCAAAACCGGCGATCAGACCGGATCCCAGGTTGACAGTGGTTTGTAGACCATCAGACATCTTCTCCTTGGGATATTGTCGGTAGACAGCCTCAGCTACCTTCTCGTAAACAACGAACTTGGCCATGGTATAAGGAACCCTGTATTTTGGGTTAGATTTGTTCAACTGAACTCTCAAATGCATAGATACTTACTGCTTGAACAGGATAGGGCCGAAACCGGCATAGAAAGCACCGAAACCCTCCTGCGAGAGCATCTTGCTGAAACCGCTCACAAGGCCGCTGGCGTAAGTAGGCTCGGAAACGAGACGGATACGGGTGGCCTCGAGAGGGCAAAGGGCAATGTCGGCGAAGAATTCGGCGAACGCGGACGAGACGAGGTAAACGCCGGTTCGATATTGCGAGGCATTCTCAAGGCCGAGGACGTTGATCGACTGCTGCTTGAAGAATTCGTATCCACCGAACTTAAAGGCGCCCTGGAGGAAGTATCCAGCGAAGGTAGGACCGACACCGGTCAAAAGGGCACCAGCACCCTCATTTGCAACGACCTGACGAATACCACCAATGAGACCTTTGTTGTATGTGACGGGGTCAAGTTGGATTCTAGTCTTCACGCTGTATATAATCCGTGTTAGCTGAAGAAGTTTGCGCATATAATTATAGTCGGAGGGCAAGTAGAATGAGCTGCAGTTTCAGTGCCGTGGATTCGGAGATACGCCAACAAAGGATAAAAGGACCTAACACCTACACATCGACGGGGGTGAGCGAGCCGTGGGTGATGGAGCAGCAGATAGCACCAGCAAGGGCGAATTTGGAGTAAAGAGAAAGACTGCTGTCCTGAGCAGGCGCATTAACGGCCTTTGCGGCAGCCATTGTGAATACTGGGCGAAGACGAAAATGGAAAAGAAAAATTAGATTGAGAGGAGAGTTTAGAGAAAGTGACGACGAATGGTCAAGTCGTACACAAGAGAGGCCCAATTGGTGATGCCTTGGTCAAGGATTTGTGCTGCTTTGAGGCTTTTTAGAAGTAAAGGAACAAGAAGCCGTCGTGTGTGTTGACTCCAGAAAAAAAAAGAATTAACAATTTGGCCGGAAGATGGCGGAAAGAGTGGGGCGGTAGGACGAAGAAAACCTATCAAAGCGGGTCGATAAGGATTGCTTAGGGAATATTTCGGGTATTGATTCGCCGATAAGTCCGCCTAAGCCACAGCATATTATCCAGCAAGCCTCGCCGTTTAGCGATTTGAACCATTAAGGATGGGTAAAGGAACCACATGTTAAATCGGGTATTAGATGCCATTTAACCGCGATGCGGCTGACATTGTATCATACACCCTCCTTTAAGTACCCGGATAGGTGCCAATTTTCTGTACATACTTATTTTAGACACCGTATTACTACGATTAGGTGCTGCCTTGAATCTATCTGCCGCCACCCGGGATAATTAATGACTCAAGGATTGAGGACCGCATCTGATTCGGGCTTACCGCCGCCAAACTCCACGGGCTGGGACATATACTATATTATCCTACCTTAGAGATTTGGGTTTTATATGCATAGCTTTCCAAACTTGGGCATCTACGGACTTCACATAGATTATGCCAACTCATGTATTGAGGACAAATACGGTTTCTTGCAAGACCTCGGCTGTATCATGACATTCGATTCGGGCCAGTAAATTCAGGATAAGGCTCATATGGCCCTGAGAATTAGAATTTAATATCCTGGGTAGGTAAAGTATTTGTTAGATAGGTAGGTACCTACCTAATGTATCAGGTAAATGGTAGAAAGTAAAGCGATTTCCCATTTAATTACCACCTAAGACGCCAAAGGTACTACCAAAATGAATATGAAAGGAAAGGAATGTATTCGAAAGTTACACGACGGAAGCTGCTACAAAAGACAACCACATATGTTACTACATATTATGAACCTCCGGCCGTAAATTCCTATAAATTCCTATAATCCGAACTTGAGGTCCTTCAATGTAGTTGTCGCATTCTCCACCATCTAACTTCCTGGTTACACTTGATCGAAGAATCAACAACGATTCACAGATTCCACACTCGAGTTGATTTAATAATATTTGATTCATTCAACATGCATTTCACTACCATTCGGATCACACTTGCCTGCTTCGTCGCCTCTTTGGCTTCTGCGGTAGCTAAGGCCCATCAAGGCTACGCTACTCCTGACGAGACTCTGGTTAAGACCTCGAGCGAGTCTTTCAACCCTTACCCGAATACGACTCAGACTGGGTTACCGACTGAGTCTTTCTCTCACTTCCCGACTATGTCTTTTCCGCCTTACCCCAGCGGATCCGCAACCTCATCTATCTCTTCCGCCAACTCCGTTCCCGGCATCGGTAATGGCGCTCCCGTCAAAGATTTCCGTCTCCAGTGCGATAGCAATAGCTTAGGACTAGTTCAGTCTCAAAATAGGCCCAACATCTATTATCTTCGAGGTACCTGTGGCGGTTTGTACAACGATGCTCACGCGTCACGTTGCTCTTTCCTAGACCTCAACATGTAAGCGAATTACATCATTCCCAGATACTCCTTAATCCGTACGATACCAGGCATACTGATAACCAAAGGTGTTACACCAATGACGGGGGAAACATACTTCCTCAGAGGATGGGCCATTTCCTATATTCATGCGATAGCTGCGTCTTATACACGTCTCAAGGCGCAAATATGCTGGCTTGTACCTGTGGAAGAGGCGACGCCAACGGTGGTGGAACACAAGAGACCGCAGTTCAGCTGGGTAAGTTCGGTTAGGATTTGGTGAATGGAACTAGGTACCTATGTTGACTTCTGATTTTAGATAACCTCCTATATGTGAAAAATGGCTTCCTAAGCTGTCACGGCTACACCAACTTTCAGTGCCCGGAGGCCAATGTGCCTTTTTAAGCCTTTAGTATTTGGTAGCTGGGAAACATGGAGGCGAAGAGACAGCTTATTGATGTGTGAATAGCACACCAGGCATCACGAAGATGATTCATAGTCGAGTGATAATCACTCACTTATATGAAGAATAAACTTGATGGATAAGTTTCATAATACCATAGTAGCGAAATGATGAAATATGGATAGGAGGTACCTATAGACAGTCCTTTTGAAAAGTGAAAATTCACCGAAACAAACATTAGCAATAAATTTACCTCATATGATCTGATGTGGAGATAATATCTAAGGGGAAATAATTATCGAGACGCGGTTAGCGATTCAATATAACAGGTCTTATCGCTAGGTTATGGAGTCCAATGTTTGAAAGAGAAAAAAAAACCGCATTACTGCCAAAAATCTGAGATTATTCGGTATAATGATGATTATATAAGGTATTTCTTCTAATATCTAGGTAGGGATAAACCTGCCTAAAGACTTGTTCGATAATAAATACTTGATTAACAGGTCGCTAGGAGGTAGGTAGCAAACATATTTGCAAACGACCTTATATTAAACACTTTGTCGCGGTGGAAAATTTTATTCGACTATGGGTTTATCCTTCCCTTTTCTTTTATTCCTCGTACGATGCGTTATTAATAGGTAGGTATTATCTATGTGGTGGAACGAGAAGGTATGGAAACAGCTTTGATGTCCTAATAACAGGAGTAGCTCCTCTAGGTACTATATATGTCGAGGGATCCATGCTTACTAAAGTATACTAACGCCTTTTAAATTTGATTAGGAGGTTAGGTTAGGTACTGAGGTGAACTTGAGGGTCAAACAGGAACAGGTAAATACATAAGTTAGGTATGTAATTTTCTCCTCATGTGTTTGATGCAGATATTACGTACATGTGCTTTTAATATCAACAAACTTTGACGGATGTTCCCGCGTTGCACCTGGTTCATCGTTTGAGTACGTCTTAAGCCAAGCTTCTCCAATTGACCTTCTATGATCAGCAGAGCGATTGTGAGGAGGCTAGAGAGGGGTTACGAAGCATGTCGGGGAAGCCGGCGTCATTGATGTAGTTTCACGCTCTGATACTAGTAGGAAGTTAGTGGGCTAGTGGAACTCCCGGCGGTATTATCATTTGGTATTGCCTTCTACTCTTCCCGTTCTATTGCTTGTAGATGACCGAAGATGTGGAGTTATTATCCATTATCATGACACTAAATTATCTGATACATGCAACTTATTATCTGATTGTCCACGATAGGAAATGTCTCCTTAGCTAAGGAAATAGTTAGATCGCATAAATGGGGAAGCAATGGGGACGCAATGGGGACGGGCTGTCGTAATTGCCATTAGCCTTACTTTTGGGGTCAGGTTCTTGGAAACATGGAAGAAGACTTCCAGGGATATAACCTAGTTAAAGTAGTTAAGGTAGTTAAGATGGAGGGTTGCACGGCATAAAACACGGCAGGTACGGTGGACCATTATTACAACTGTGCCAAAATCGAGAAAATAGGTGGCACTATGTCTAATAAGGTAATAGTAAGGCAAAAATACAGTGTAAGCTCAATTGATATGCACTATATACACAATTAACACCCCTTTTAACCTTATACCATAATAGCTTTACGAATATTTATCCAAATATTTTTCAAAAACTATTGATCTTTTGATTGAAAAAAGACAAAAATTACTATCCAGGTTGCATGTAATTTAACCTAAGGTTCGTAGTGTGATTAAAAAGGTTGTAAGTATAAATATAAGGCCAACCAAAAGTCAAATAGCCAATCAAATATAGCCTTTACCTTAACCTCAAAATACCCGAATTCAATAACAACACTTACGCATATTCAAATAACTTTACCAATATACTATTTCAAAAAATATAACTGGTATCATTTTGTAGCTTTAATTAATGCGAAAATAGAAATGCAAGTTGCATTTATATATGGCCTTTGGCTGGCGTGTTGTGTCAGTATCAAATAAGTCTTATACAGGGAGGCTAAGTCTTATATAGATAGATAGGCTAGCACGTGATACCCTTTATGACCACTTTGGAATCCTGTATATACATCTTATATTACACATTATCTTTACGAAATAAATCAGAAATATTACAAGACGATTTCAATAATTCTTTTCATATTTCAATTGAAATAATGATATTTTCTTTGAATTTTAGAAAGAATACTCAAAAAGTTATTAAATAATATAAGAATTTTGTATATACCCCGCATAGTATACTGTGCACCTTTCATACTAGCCCTTTTTGGACAGATCTGACCTATTTTCTCGATTTTGGCACAGTTGTAATAATGGTCCACCGTAGCAGGGACGTTTAACCAATAAAGTCTCATGATCTACAAAAAAGGATCGACTAACTTAAAAGCCCTCGCTACTATGACGACCTTTTTTTCCTATTTTTCCTAGCCCGCCTGATCCCAAGTACCGTTTCCTCCATCGCACTATACTACGAAGAGAATTCGGGCCTCGGGCTAATTGCGGCCTCTCCACAACTCCACAACTCCACAGAACTCCAAAGGGGGTTCGGGTCTCTCTCTCCACATCTAGACCCCCGGATTCCTTAGCTCTTTAAGGGTTAGTTTGGGTTAGTTTAAATGGGGAATTAGCAACGGTGATGGTTACTAGGGTGGAATGTGAAATATTTGGTAAGGGTAAGAAAGATATCAGGTAGAGAGTAAGGTAACAAGGTAGCAAGGTAGCACCGCCGTTCAGCCGTGACCGCTTCGGTGGGATTGGGAAAGACGTTGGGGACCCCACGGAGCTGACAACTTATATTAATAAATAGTAGGGTGCTGCCCTTCTTTCAAGACAACTCCCGAGTTCTCGGCTCAAGACACCATCCACCAATTTACCGTAGGGACACACAATTCCTACCGTGACACCCGTGACCACTTATAGTCTTGCCAAGATCGCATCCTTGGACTTTTTTATAGTAGTTATACGGAATACCGGTTCGCGAATTGGTAAGATGGGCTTCAAGGAGTTCATGAAGAGGCGTTCTCTTCGAGCCAAGGACGACAAGCGCACGAAGGCGGCCGAACTGACTCTTCGAGAGTCGCTCTATCCCATCTGTCTCGTAACAGTTCTATTCTTCCTTTGGGGATTTAGTTACGGTATGTAACCATGATCTTGCGCGATAATTGATGCTGGGTTATTACGCATATACGATGGCGTGTGGTATCCTAGGTAGCTAACTTATTGTAACTAGGTCTTCTCGATACGTTGAACAAGCACTTCCAAAACACACTTGGTGTTACTAAGTCGCGTTCGTCTGGTCTACAAGCCGCATACTTTGGGTATGTCTACCTCGCATGGGAGACACGTGTGGAATCATTGCTAATCATCTAGCACAGCGCCTATCCTCTTGCCTCGCTCGGTCATGCCAACTGGATCTTACGCCACTATGGTTATCGGGCCACATTCATATGGGGTCTATGTCTATACGGTACGTGACACCTTCCTATATACACATATATGGGTATATATCGGATTATGAACTCGTCTCGACTGACTAGAAATATTACAGGTATCGGTGCGTTGATCGCCTTCCCATGTATCCAGGCGAAGTCTTTCGCTGGGTTCTGCATGGCCATCTTCGTTATTGGCAATGGTCTTGGATCCCTCGAGACTGCTGCGAACCCGTACATCACCGGTATGTCCTATAGCTCTATAAGTAATAATAATTATACTTACATATGTGAAAAGTCTGCGGCCCTCCTCGATATGCTGAGATACGCATCAACATATCTCAAGCCTTCAACGGTATTGGAACTGTAGTAGCTCCCGTGCTGGGCTCGTACGTCTTCTTTAACTTCGACGACGTAACGGCGTTGCGAAACGTGCAATGGGTGTACATTGCGATTGCCATCTTCGTATTCGTGCTCGCCTTTGCCTTCTTTCTATCCGACATTCCTGAGATTACCGACGCCGACATGGCATTCCAAGCCAACGAGACTCACGCCAACGCTGATGATCAGCCTTTTTGGAAGCAGTACCGACTCTTCCACGCCGCCTTTGCTCAGTTCTGTTATACCGGTGCTCAGATCGCGATCGCCAGCTACTTCATCAACTACGTACGCGATACCCAACCCCTTGCTGATGATGCCCTCGCTTCACAACTACTTGCCGGCGCCCAGGGTGGCTTTGCTGGGGGTCGTTTCTTCGGTGCGATCTTGATGCGATATATCCGTCCTCGATGGATATTCCTAGCCTTCCTGACTTTGTGTATCGTGTTCATCGCACCGTCTATCACAGAGCGTGGTTGGACGGGTATGTCGATGTTGTACGTGACGCTATTTTTCGAATCCATCTGTTTCCCAACAATCGTCGCATTGGGTATGCGCGGATTGGGCCGTCACACGAAGCGCGGGTCCGGCTGGCTTGTAGCAGGAGTGATGGGTGGCGCGTGTGTGCCTCCGTTGACTGGTGTCGCAGCCGACTCGCGCCAGACTGCGTTTGCCATGGTTGTCCCTCTGTGCTTCTTCGTCGCAGCCTCATCATATGCTATCGCAGTTAACTTCATCCCCGCGTATAGGGATCCCGCGGATGCGTTTTCTACGACTGAGATTGGGCTAACACCCCACCATGGTGGTGATGAAGAGAGTGGTAACGAGAACGGTATAATCGCCGATGAGAAGGTTGCCCACACTGAGATTGAGAAGTAGTTACCGTCTATTCAAAATTTGGAGGTTGGTGGATGGTACGGAAAGGGATATTAGAATGTGAGCTTGTGTTGAATTCTACTTCGCTGTTACAAAAGGCTATACCCAAATAATTTTTAACACAGCACAAGCTCGATCTTTAACATAAATAAATCAAACAAATCGAATAAATCTTATAACCTGTGGAAGGCATTATCGCATTAAATTTTACCTCTCTAAGATGTAAACATGGCAAAATCATTTGCCTAAGATGAATATGTTAACGAGAGAAGGTCCCAGATACATGCGCCATGCTAATATCCATCCTTAGTACAAACGACCTAAGCAATTTTTCCATCCGCGCGCCAAGTATTCATCCTAGAATCATATAAGAAGTATGTAAAATAACAGTAGGATCGTGTGGGTATAACCGATAAACGCCGTACAAGCTCCTCCTATCAAAAGACAGTAAGTAAGGCGTCATAGAACAACCTCCTATTTTAGCTCTTTGGCTAATACAAGCGGAGCGATGGTATAATATACTCATGTGCATATTCTAAATGTGTATAAGTTTTCCATCCCCCATTATGAATATTTAGACTTCCGTCATATAAGGCAGCGTCGTAGTACAAGGTATCTATGTGTCGTACCCCGGCGATGAGCTAATAGCTGAATTCTTTTTATTGAGCCTCGCAGCAGTCTGCCCAACTGCGATATCTGGAGATCCATAATATCCATGTAGTTCGCTAATCTCGGCAAGCGTTCCTAGATTGGTTGCTGTCGGTGTTACGCCCTCGCCGCGCGTCCCTCGTGAGTTCCCAGATGGGTCGCTGGACCGTCTGACTTGGGCCCTAGGAGGGCGCGTTGAGCTGTTAGACCGTCGTCTTGCCGCCTCGAGCGCGACAGGACTGCCTAATTCTGATACGCCATGCGCACCGACGATACTGCCGTCTAATTCGCTTGCGTCACTCCATTGGCGCGCGTGCGTACGAGGTATCTCTGAGTCGACGCTGGGTCGTGCGGGAAAGTACCCGTTATCGTGATGTGCGCCATAGGAATCTAGACTTGACTGGCGACCGTCTGATGCGGCGTCAGATCTTGGAATCTGGGGGAAATATCCGGGCCAAGCAGGCGGCGTCGTGGAAGCATTCGAGCCATAGTAGTTTGGCGTCTCCGAACGGGATTGCTCACCAGCAGTGGACGAGTCGGATCGGGCTCGAAAGTGGGCGTTCCGGGTTCGCCTAAGAGAATCCACATCTGTACCGTCGACTTCTGATATTGACAATTGTCCATAACCCGATTTCTGCGAGTGCGGTTCGCCGTTGGAGTTCCCGTGCCTGGACTTTGCTGCGGCTTTGGCAGCTTTCTCCGTTCGTCTAAGCCGCCATATAATAATCGCGGCGATGACGATTATGATAGCTAGAAATGCGATAGCACCCCCAACTATACCGCCAATCTGTGCTTGACTGAGGCCGTTACCACTGTTACCACCGTTACCATCGCCGCCACCAGTTTCAATAGCCGGCAACTTAGAGACGGTACTAGGAACTAATTTTGCCACACCACCAACTGCAGCAGACGATGTATCCGATGGATCTGGACCTGGTGAAATGACAGAAGAGCTCGTGACCACAGTCGTAATAGTATTTCCCCTCGAGTTAGTAGTGGTTACCGTTTCGCTTACTGGAAGCGTTTTAAGGGAGGTCCCATAACAAGTGGCCTCGCCGCAGATCATCCCGTCTGGACAACAACCGTACCCAAGAGAAGATGCGCAACCAAACCACAATGATGGACATGATTGCGAATATACTCCGGCCGGCGGCAAGCAGTCCTCTGTGTCGCGTCCACAAAGAAAACCCACAGGACAGCAGGCCCCTGTGAGGATGTCAGTACCTGGGTTTCTATATGACTGTAGACAGATGCTCTGGATTAGTTTACTTACCTACACCAGCTGTAAGTGGACAGTTATAATATCCTGATGTTCCACATGCGGACGTAGGTCCCGCCGTTGTGGCGTAGCAGGACGATATGGCACAGGCATAATTTTCGGGACAACACCCACCGTCTGCGGAAGCAGGACATAGCGTAAATCCTGATTGTTGGCAGGTAGCCTCGCGTTTTGGGTGGCGCAAGACGCTATGATTCTTTTTCAACTGGTGGATTTGATATCTATTGTCGTGCCTAGCAGTCGTGGTTGGAAGTAGAACTGCTAAAACCGCCAGCGCAATGCAGGCCATGCAATTTTGAAGTCCTCCCATCGTGAGGCTTTTCAGATTCGACGTTTCCGACTACCAGATACCCCAAGTAAGCCCCCAGACGAGTGAAATGTCACCGGATTTAGAGCCTCGGCACCTGGCTTTTCGTCTCGTAGCACTTCGAGGGGACTCATATAAGTGTGCTTAACCTTTGACTTTGTGACGGATGACTCGCGTACGAGATCGTCTCTCTATAGAGTATCTCTATGTAGTAACCAAAAATCACACCGGTATAACTGAAGATATGAAGTAGAGAAAAAAACACAAGTTGCAAAGGTGAGGCTCTGTTAGTGTAGCGCAACGTTGGTAGAAAAAGATGCGATAATGGCAAGTAAGCACTACTTGGATGCTGGCTTACGAGCTGGCACCTCTTAGAAATAGCACTCTCTAACAAGCCTATCACCAAAATCGCGACGGACTCATCAGACTGTGGTCATGGACACGCCAAGTGCGAAACTAAGAAGGGGGTAGATCAACACGATACGCTTCTAGGACGACAAGGGTTGAGGGGGATGGGCACGTTGAGATGGGATTCTGAGGATGAGATCAAAAGATATTCACTGGTGTCTTGGCCGCTGACCTGCAGCGAAAAAGCGGGAGGGGGTTTTTCCAACTGCAGCTAGTTCTATCAATTCTTCTAGGTGCAGATGGCGAACTCACCATTCAGCTTGACGAGCGTCTCTCGTAGGTGTAACGTCAGCTTCCACAGCTGCATGGCTGGCCCCCAAGAAATGCACATCCCGGCCGCGAGGAGTCGAGGGGTCGGTTTCGGGACGCTCGTGATTGGATCAAAGGTATAATATAGGAAAGATGGATGTCCGCTACTTCTAGTGCGTACGACTTGGTACGACTTCTTTGCTGTAGATAGGCATTTGTGCGTTGGAGGCGTCTGTTTGATCGTATTGGATGTGTAGCTATACCTAACTAACATAATGGGCAGTTTCATAGATGAACTCTTGCTGCTTTACACCAGATACTATAAGATCTAGATCCTATTGAAAATATGCTGAGCCTTCTATATAAAAAAAGGAAAAAAAAGGAAGAAAAAAAGGCAGGATCTACTTACGGTGTCTTACTAGATATTAGCTTGTTAAAGCCTACTGAGTCAGAAGCCTATCAACTTCGCGCAACTGGGGAGCATCTGGTCTCAAATGGGGTCTCAGATGTGGTCTTTGACTTGCAGGTAACCTTGTCCTAGGGCTGATGGCTTGGTTTTTATTAACATGCGTGTAGCATGGCAGAAGAATGCCGATATCCTATATTAATGAGCTACCTTAGCGATAAGTGGTATTATACTACGATGAAATGTATGCGATTGATTGTTGGGTAGACGGTAGATGGTAAACAGTAGGATGATGGATGGGATGAGAGTTTAGAAGGTATGCGCCAGTCTTTTTTTGGTATATTACCTCCTAGACAGCTTGCTAATTCGAGCTGACTAGGAGTTGGTACCAGATTGTGCCACATCCATACGCCTGCGTGGTCGCACAATGGCTTGGGCGTCGAATAATCATGGAATAACGGGATGAGGACCCGAGACATTCTCGTAGTACCTAAAGAAAATATCGATGGAGGGGAAATCCCCAGCTTCTACTTCTCAGCACTTGTGCGACCGATAGAATATAGTAACCTAACCTAGTAATGTTAGACTATATTTTCTACTTTTATTTCTATATTTAAGCATCGGCAGAGACGAGCATGAACCAATTAAAGAGCATTATATTCGCCGCGAAGACTCCGTGCTATATTTACCTAAGATATATTAACTAACTACCTCCTAACCTATACTTTCTTGAAGAAGTATATTAGTCACTCAAATTACAATTAGTCTATTAACCATCAACAATCCATAGATAATAGGACGGCTTGTTCCAATTTATAAAACGATGGAAGCATTAGAGGTACCTATCATACCCCTCTTCATCGCGCCAACATCAAATCTCGTAATAGCGATAACTAGCCCAAGATCTAACCTAGCGAGCTACTAAAGAGGTAGGTAGATATTTACCTAGCGGCTAACCACTCAATCACTTCGAATTTTATTACAGGCTTTGCTACCCCATATCTTGACCCTCACAGATATTTACCTAGGTAGACATATTATTGTCTTATAGAATTCAAGACGAATTAGTTCTGTATGATTAGGCGGTGCTCTACTGTATTAATCCGTTGGAGGCCGGAAATAGACGGCCGTCTCCCATCGTACATATTCCTTTCTTGTCCGCATTATTAATCATTTCGATAGGAGGTGGCATCCTTTATACTATGTACGACCTAGGATGTCATTCCAAGTGCTTCTCGGTAAAGTAGCTCTTTTCGAGCTCGCCCGTGACGGGTGCCGGAGTCACGAGGTATAAGTGTCGACCAGACAAGGGCGTTTATTTAATTCTGGATAATAAGTGAGGCTCAATTCGGGTCTTCGTCGATTTTAGGCTTGACCTTTTCCTCTCTATCTCTTTCTTCCTAGTCGGGACTATTATGTAACAAGGTCATAGACTGGCTCTGACTGTTATGGTTATGTGTTTATCGTTGAGAAGAATCAAGCGAATGGATCACTTTAATATGTACCTACAGGAACTACAAGAACGGCTGATGTCCGTGTGTCAATACCGTTGCAACCCCGCAAGCTGATTTCGTCGATCGTCAAATTTCTCCACATTTGCTTCGTGATGGGTTTCTATCCTGGCTATCCTAGTAGCCCCCAGTCTATTTAGAACTTGGATCTGCTACAGGTACTGCACTAACCCTGGGGCTTATAGTAGTTCTAGACTTCATTTCCGAAATGCCTAGGGACTCCAACTGTCAGATGTGTTCATTTATGCCCTTTTCGGAACCCGTCTCCGGCCACCGTCCTTCTTGACTAGGCTACGGACCTGCATTTTCTCCACAACGTCACGATGATGGCCGAAAATTGAGATCGAACTATGTGGTTGTTCCTTTCTACCCCGTTTCTTTCTATCCACCACCTCCTCTTGTCGGCTTGTCAGAAGTCTAACTAGTCTCTCAATCTATTGTTACTATCTTATACAGCTCTAATCTTGGTTTGTTGGGTACACAGAAGATAGAATAACGCCTCGGCCATTCTGGCTTGAGTAGCATCTAATCTGAGGGGTAGCGAGTTCGTGTGGGGAGTACTATGACAAGCTACGAGATACGATATGAAATATGAAGGAATCATAGTATAGCTTGTTGCTGGCTGGCGATATGTTGCTGTATACCAAAGTCGCGCCTCCGAAGGTGCCAAAGAGGCGTTCGCGAGCAGGTCAGTCAGCTTCCACGACTCTATTTTCCTATTCGATTCTTTTTTCTGCCTCGGACCCGAAACTGACCGTAAATTTGGGTTAATAGGTTGCACCTTTTGGTACGTAATATCCGGATCTTCGTCTGTCGCACGCCCGTCAACGAGATTGCTAATGTTTCGATATAAATGTAGCAAAGAGAAAGTACGACTCCTATCCTATAATCAACTTGTATCCTGTAAACCTAAGTTGAAGAGCTGTTCTGATTTGCTTTGCGGGGGAAATAGAAGAAGAAATGCGATGAGAAACGGCCGCGATGTGCACGATGCATCGAAAAGGATCTTCAATGCACCTACGAGGCAGTGAGACCGCGCCAACGGAGAAAGAAGGATCCTTCGCAGCCTGGATTTACACAAGATTACGGGAGGGCGCGTGAACCTATCCTAGATGATGATCAGTGGCAAGAGGTTACGGTCGATGGTGTTTCTGAGTCCGATTGTCTCAGTCCTATAGATACTAAGTTTAACGACATGTCTCCAATGAGCTTTAATGAAAGTGCGCTGTCTCCAGTCGATGTCAGCCCTACGGTATACGAATACGACGATGCAGATGATGGGGATCAAGTACAAGAGGTGGTGCGGAGGAATTCAAGCACTAATGTGGTCTCCCAGGCACGATCTCTGCAACCAGACCTCGCTATGATTGCTCCTTGTCCCGTCGGCTCCCCGACGCTCGAATTTGTTCTGCCAGTATTCTCAGAGTTTTCGGATCGTCCTAACCGGCGCGCCCTGGTCGATCACTTCTGCAATGTTATGTCACACTTGATAGTTTTCCGGGAGGAGTCTGGCAATCCGTTTCAACAGCTAGTCCTGCCGCTCTCCTCTAAAAGTGCCCCTATCATGAATGCCGTATATGCATTAGCAAGCGCCCACCTAGAGTACCGCGGAATTTCAACACCAGAAAAGTCGTTATACTTTCACAATCGAGCTATTCAAGGTTTGGCTAGGCTAATTGAGCAGGAAGGGAAGGTTGATAAGACTGAACTTCTTGCAGCTATCATGCTGTTAGTGTACTACGAAGTAGTAAGTATCTGTATGGTTAATGTGAGATCTAAACACGAGCTTACCAATTTGCAGCTTGTCCAGCGTGGACGGACAAGTATAGTAGACGGACATCTCAAGGGAGCCCTGACTATCATGTCCTCTTCTGAAGGAGAGTCCACACCTGCTAGCCTCTTCTTAGAGCGTGTATGTTACGACTATCGGGTCCTATACGGTTATGTTTTACTAACAAGACAAAGGCTTTCCGGTTCTACGATGTTATTACGGCGCTCTCGCTAGGATCTGCCCCTCTTTCAACAGCTCCAGCTGCTGGCTGCCTCGTACCATTCCCCCCCTTGGACGCCCCGGCGGTGTCTCCTCTCAGCAACGTTGATAGCTTACTTGGGATGGCCACTACCCTGTGGCCTATTATGCATCGCCTATCTAACCTGCTCTCTCTCAAGAATGATATCGAGAAGGCATGCCAAGAGAATCAAACCTCCAAAAGCGCTGTCCTTAGAATGGAGTTTGAAACTACTTCTCAGGCTATCGAAACCGCTCTCACGCAATGGGAACCATTTCTCCCTCCAAATATAATTGTTGAGAATGGAGTGTTGAGAGGCTCTAGCGGCCGAGAAGAGATCCCAGAGCAACAACGCCTCCAATCCACCCTACACAACTCCCTAGCCTATCGTCATAGCGCATTTGTATATCTATATCGTACTATATATGGGTACTCGCCACGTCGTGAGGTGGTACAAAAGCATGCTCACGTGGCACTCACACATTGCGTTGGAACAGTCACCCACAGAGGACCTATGGGAGCATTGTTATGGCCTTTGTTTGTAGCCGCGTGTGAGGCGGTAAACGCAGAAGATAGAGCACTCGCTCAGGAGGCGTTTGTCGGGATTGATCAGCGCCAAGGTATGACCAACATAGGCCAGGCTTGGAATGTCGTCCAAGAAGTCTGGAAAAGGTTAGATGATATAAATGACGATTCCTCTGCAGTTTATGAATCCGATCTGTGGAGGAAGATTAGCGCTGAGATGGGAGTTAGCATCGTTTTTGGCTGACATCGGAGCCTAGCAAGCATTCAAAACAAGGTGGTAACGGCTGGGGTATGGGCGCTATTGATCGGTTGCTATCAAGTTGACCCCGTCCTCTTGCTGGTGGCAACTTGTTATTCTACTCTATCAGATTGATAGAAAAACAGAGGCTCACGCTTTAGGCATCGTAACCAGCCGAACGCCTAGAAATAGGCAGTACCCCCATCTACCTATACATGACCTCGCTTTAGCATGTGATACTGTTTCTCAGGAATACAGGAACAAATCACTAAGTACTTCAGAGTGGTCGGATGCAGACAACCATATGGATTCGTGTAACCAGCGTCCTGCACCGATCAAGCGGGAGAGGGAGGAGACGGGAATGGTACTCTAACTGCTTGATACCCTTGGAACTGATACGGGTATAGTGCCGGCTTTGGGAAAGACAAGGCGCCTGGGAGCTGATGTAGGGATTTGGTTTCGTCTACAACATTTTTAGGCTATTCTCTATACGGGCCATCTTCCTGGAGACAATGCCCCGGGCCTTTAGACCTTGTGCCGTCGTTTTGCATGGGACATTGTGTTGGCAGGAAAAAACTTCAATATAAGGGAAGAACAAGATGGTGTTCCATCTGATGTCAAAGAACATTTGAATATTATAAGTGCTGCAATATCTGCAATACCTACTGTATTTCTCGCATATTCCTGGCCCTTGCGTGGTCTAAGACGTGGGCAGTTTCGCGATGGCACTGCCATACTAAGTGCTTGGTCAACCCCTCTACTGATACTAATCTCAACGATAGCTGATTCGCATGTGGGAATCACCGAATTGCGCACGAAAATTCCATGGGCAGCTTGGGTTACCAAGGGTAGCATCCTTCAGGCTTCTACCGATCTGCCGTGTGATGGATTTGGGGGGGGTTGCTTATGCGTTTAAATCAATCGGGGGAGGTCAACGATCCAACCAGCCAGTACGGATGATAGCAGATTTTAAGGATACTATAACTAGACGCGAAAGGAGACGCTGCAGTATTCCCCAGATAAATACGGAATCATATCCGGCTACCTTCAATGTTACCCAACCAAGCTATCTAGGCTAGATATGTGAAGGCTATCGGACCAAGCGACGAACGACATGTACGTACGTTACGTTTTAATAATAACACCGTATAGTATTAGGTAGCACAAGCCAGGATCAAAATGTAATTCAATTCGAGTCTTATCTTTCGTATAAGAGTTTTGAGCTTTGCTTGTCGCTAGTGGTATGATGGATGCGAAAACCAATTGATTTGCTAAACTTATAAAGTAATACTATACGTCAAGCCTCTCTATGGGGTAAGATAGGATAGAAAATACAGGGGGGACGTAATTGATGATGAGATGAGATGGGCGTATCTTAGTATCCGATGAGCGGCGTATAGAGAGTATGTATACATAAGAGGGGGGCGGCTTTTTCTTTTCTTTTATTTCTGTTACATATTCTTAGAAGGGGTAGCATCAGGTAGATCGCTAAAAATCTCCTTAGTCTAAAGTACATTTATATCTGGTCAGATTGTCATGTAGTAGCTCATACAGTATAGGTATATTTCATGTAGATGATATTTGTATGTAACTAATACCACGAAGCGAAGCCGTTCCGTTCCGTCGAATAACCCCCCTTTTTATTGTCTCCTTGTCTTCTTACAAACAAATTCACACAGACCACGTTGTATCTGTCAGACCCCGCGGTCCCGCAAATCTCAAAGTCGATCATAACTACCATCCATTATTAGGCTTGGCTTCCATCCTGTCATCTTATTAATTAATATTCTTGACGACTTCTCCCTAGCCCAGCCTGGCCAGCCATACAGCCATCAAGCCATCCAACCCACATAATTTTCCGCATTCCCACCGTATTGGATTCAGCTTTTAGTCCCGGCGCTCTTATTATTAGCGATTCCCCAAAATTCGATAGACCCGACTTACAAAAGCAACGCGACTCCAACTTCGACTTTTAGATTCTGGATTCTGGATTCTTATCGTATTGTTACCTATTATTAACCTACCTTAGCTTATGTACATGCATCAAGTTGTAGCTATCGGCAGCTGTCTTCCTACATATACAACCTCAATTATTCCCGGCGGTCCCGGTTACGTACGCATTGTCTCGAGACTTTAGCTGTCGCATCATTGTTATTTACCGACTTGGATTTTATTAGTTTTTAATTTTGTTATTATTAAAAAAAAATCTCATTACTTCTTTTTGTGTTCTATTTTACTCAGGAGACGATGGCTTCAGCAGAAAGCTTGTTGGAATGAAGATATTGGTAAAAGTAATGATTGTTGGGCTAGCCCCTCTAAAGGTGTTGCATTCAGCCCCTCGTCATTGCCCTCGCCTTCATCATCCCCACATTCGCGGTGTGATAGCCAACTAGTGCGCGCACCACTTTCATCCGTTCACTAGGTACCTTATATACCTAAGGTATAAGGTACTCCATTATATTTACCTGGTAGCTAAAGGTACAACTGCACCTGACTAAGAAAACCCAAACCACGCACGCGGGCAACAACTAAGAAAGAAAATAAGGAAATTACCTAAACTAGCTCAATCCTGTTGGTTCGCCATTTCCTTCGCTAACGAGTTCCGTGATCTATATTTTTCGTACGACCTTAAACCCGCAACGGAGGGCTCCTTCTAACCAACTATCTTACCTTCTTACGCTACTACCTCCTAGACCCCCCCGTTCCTCCCCCAGGCTTTCCAGGTCCTAGGCCCCAAAAAGCTCCGAGCCCCAAACTACTACTTCCTAGTTCATTTCCTAATTCCTAGTTTCTAAGAAACATCACCTTTTTTTTTTCTTATACTAGCGAATTTGGTCCCCTTTTTCTATCTTACTTCGTGCGGCGCAACTGTCATATAATAGCGGAATGGACCATTAACAGAAAAAGGCAAACCCCACCATTTGGTATATGTGTGCGCGTGAGAGTGAATGATACGAAAGCATCCACAAAAAAAAACTAAGAGCACGTTCTCGTCCATGGAGACCTAGAACCTTTACGTCGAGCATTGGGTTGCCCGCCATCGTAGAGTTTCGTCTTCTATTCTAGCTCGAGGCTCCTAACACACAACTCATGCTCATAAGGTTTACGATTACTATTCTTACTCTTATCTTTTTTATAATTAACTATTATAATTATTTATTACTTATCGTTATTACCGTTATACCTGTTCCGGCTCCCCGACTACCACCGCCGTCATGGTGACCCTCCTCAACAGCAACGGACCCGATCCGCTGCCGGCACCCAAGCAGATTCGCTTCGTCAATAACCAGGGCCAACCACCAACCAAGAGGAGAAGGATAAACGCTGCGTAAGTATCGTTGAATTCCTTTGTCCGATCTGGGAGGAGGGACTGAACCGTAGATTACGCCCGGGGTAATTGACGACTCTTTTCTTTTGGTTCCTTTTCTTATGTTCTTCGTCATGATCCTCACAGGAATCCCGCAGGCCCGCCGCCAATTCAGTCCCGACTTCAGGGGTTGCGACATCGCGAACGTCTCAGCTGACACCCGTTTCTTGATGGCAGATGCCTCACTTGCCGTAGGCGAAAAACGAGGTGCGCCGGCGAACATCCTACCTGTTCGACATGCACCAAGAATGGACACGACTGCCTAGGGTATTCGGATGGCATCGAGAAGAGCGGCAAGAAAGATGGTGGTCCCGATGAAGACGAATATGCCGACGAAGACTTGGAACTCGATCGCAAACAGTGGAAAAACAACCGAAGCGGAATTAAGCAGTTCGATATACCCGATGGTTCTCCTAAATCTTCTCGCCGCGCATCTGAACCTGTTCAGGATTCCACAAACCCTGATATGCAAATGAAATCGGAAAACATTGACTGGGAAGAGCCAAGTTCGCAACCGACACCGCGTCCCGAACCCATGGGTCGACCGCCGAATCCGCGAAATCCTTCCTTCTCGACCGAAGGTGGCTTTAGCGAGGCTGGCCATTCGCCAGTTCAGTTCCACAATGAAAGCCACCGAGTGCCTTACTTTCGCTATTTTGGCCCTACCGCTATAGTACCGGGCTTTAAGCAGATGGTAGTCAAAGTAAGGGATCGAAGGAGAAGCTCCATATCCGCTACTTCGCCTAGCGGTGCAAGTTCGACGTTCTCCGGTATCATGAATTCCATGCAACCAGACATTGAACTTACTCACTTAGACGATATGCCTGTCTATGATCCTAACGACACAAACGATGTACCTCCTCTGATCCTCCACCTCGTCGAGACATTCTTCCTTCACCTAGGTAGTAATTACCCATTTCTGCGGCGCGATAAGTTCCCCAGATTAGTTCAAGAGAAGCGAGTAGAACCGATATTAGTAGATGCGGTATGTGCTCTTGCAGCACGTTTTTCTGATCACCCACTGTTCCGGAAATGGAATGAAGGGAAGCTGGTTAAATCAGAGTACGGCTACATCTATGCTCAGCGAGCCAAGGCGGCTACCGTCGATACCTTCCCATGCCCGACAGTCGCTGCTGTCCAAGCGTGCCTATTGATGGCCTATGACGGTTTCGGTGCTGACCAGGATAGTGCCCTATGGATGTATTTGGGAATAGCAATTCGTATGGCGATCGACTTAGGTCTATGTAAGGAAGATGGCGTGCGATACCAGGGTGAAAAAGATGCTTGGTACGCGCGGGGTTATAATAGGAAGTCGAGCGACGATTATTCCCAACAGACCCAGCAAGGCGCAGACGGCACTGTCCTTAGTCCAGAAGAACAAAAAGAAGTTGAACAGGAGCGTATCGACACATTTTGGGCCGTCTTCTTCCTCGACCGTGCCATCTCCTCCGGCACCGGTCGACCAGTTTCCCTTCGAGACAACGATTTCGATTTGCAGCTTCCAAGGTCTTCTGTTGATCCCATCTCCGGTTGGCCTGATCCGAATGCGTCGCTGCTGCAGATTATTAATCTTTACGGCCGTGTCTCCGATGTGCTCAATAATATTACGCATGCTCAAGACCTCACGCAAGAAAAGATG